GCACAAAAATAGTTCTCACAATGAGGAAAATGTTACTTACACCACTATGAGTCTAATTCACTCAAATGTGGACCTTTTATGTTCAGTTACTGTTGCCAACACGGTTAGTATTGGCTATTATACCTCGCTAGTGCTGATAGCAAATATTTATAGTTCCAAATATGCGATTCCGCTATTGTATTTCACAAGCACACAACCTATGAACATGCTTACAATCATTATTAGTCGACCATAATGAAATACAAAAGCATATTTCTCCTAATCACTTCTCTTAGTTAATTTCTCTATCAAAAAATTCAAGCATAATAAAATCATCGTAAATGAGCCCTAATCTGATCATTTTTGTCACGAACAAAATTCATAGAACAAACGGTGAAGTGAAAAGAAATTATTATTATTTAAAGAAAACATTGAAAAAGGAAATGAAGAAGGAAAATGATAAAAAACAGTCACGTTGCTCGTGCCACCCTGTATAGCCCGAAGAGTTTCACGAGATGATACCAGTATCTTCCTGCATGTAAAGTACGACACGGTTACTGATATCACTGGCTATAACTATATAACAGTTCAAGTCCAAAGTATTGCACAATGGCCGACGACCCGATTCGACCTGGTTTTCAATCCCTGCCTACGTTATGTGCCCCTCGACGCGGTACCTCGTACCGCCGTAAATAAGAACCTGACTCGCCTTGTTTCAGAACAAATCTTCCTTTCGATGCTATATCTTTCCTTTTCAACGAATGACCCGACGTTCGCCACTTTCTTATAACCTCAAGCGAATGAAATGTGGTAACCTCGCATACATCAAGTATATTTCGGGATCTAGGAAATTAATTTAATGTTTTTTTAAATAGAAGATACATTTATGACTTTTCGTTTTTATACTCAATTTGAAACATAATATACTGCGGCTGCTACATTGATTCCAATAAAAATGATCATATTTACTGTCATAAATATTGTGAATACTAATCATTTGTTTCTCCGTTAATGACAAATGTATTCTGAATCTTACTTAGAATTAACGTAATTTAGAACGATCTTTTTAATAAAAAATCTGACATCTGACTTCAAATTTTTCTATATAATTTTATTTTAGTGTAGAAAATTGTGCACCGTGACAAAAATGTTCGTACGCCTTTTAAAACGCAATAACTATTTTTTGGAACTTGACCAGATGATTTGAATTTTTGTTAAATGATAGAAGGACTAGTCTATTAACAACAAATTAATAACAACTTTTTTTCTTCATTTTGCTGTTTTAAAAAGGTGTGTTGTGGGCCACTGTATATGCAATGAAGCACTAAAAAAAACTGAACCGAATCAATACACTAGCATTGTAATTCAATACGAAAGGATCCTTCGCACGTTAATATAAATGGTAAACGATTAATACTTGGACGGCGATGCTCGGGTCTATACAGACCTAGATTAAAAATATTATTATTTCACTACCTAGTTTTATTAATGGCCATTTTGTTAATGGATTAACACTTTAATGGCCGCTCACGCAACATGTATGCGATGCTTTAATAATTATGTAGGTGATTGCTTTAATAATTATCACGCAAAGGAAAAATATTAAATTTATTGTATTAATTGTATCGTTATTATTGTTGTTGTTTCTTTTAGTTTCATGTGTACATATGCACCCGTTGAATTATTTCATGAATTTGCATAAATATTGCCGGTCCCAGACGACGTTTGACTGCGTAGACGTGCGGCTGTTAAAGTGTTAACGAAAATTTTCACGCGTTTCATTAAAATCTATAGAAGATCTAACGTGCCTAGAAGAAGTACGTCAAAAAATATGCTAAGAAAATTCATGAATAAAATAGTAAATGATGTTGGACACGGTCAGTGACATTTTTGTAAAAACAATTCCACCGTCCAAATATTAATAACCTACACTATATTTTCCGGTATAGTGACGTACCGAAACTGGAGTATCGCGTGCAATATAAATACTGTCGCCACTGTAGAATCACCGCGAAACAATGAACGCTTGAATACATTTTCGACGCGCAGCAACGATTTCACTAGCCGCACACGGCATAAATATTTCCTCGGTCTGTTTATAAAAGTTGAAAGCATACCAGAGCGGAGTGTTTCGATAGCCACTTTATCGGCCGGAGAATTAAATGTGATCACGAAACGCCGAGTGTTTGCTCGGGCCGAATAAAATATCGATTCGGAAAGGGTGTTTTCCGTAGGCCTAGCGTCAATCTCTAACCTCGTTCTCCGCCCTCTCGCCTTTTCTCCGACGGCTCTTTGTCTTTTCGCGCTCTCTCCCCCCCACCCCCCTGGTGGGAAGAGGGAATTGTCGGGACGATTGCGTTTCCCGCAATTCTGGATGACGACGAGCTGTCGACCTTTCTTTCCCGGCGTTCCTCTGAAGCATTTCCGCGGCAGAACGGCGCAGAAACGCCGCGAAAATCGAGCGGAGAAGAAAGATTACCGGCTTTCGCCGGGGCGGATTAAATTTTCTATGGCTTCGCAAGTCGCCGACGATCTTTCGGCGTTCTGAGCCGTGACCACCTCCGACGTTATACGCCCGTTCCCGAACTAAGGAATTGCTTTTCCCTGTGACAAATTATTTCTCGATTTTAAAGCGGCCCGGGAGAGATTGCGCCCTCGCATTCCCGATCCCGCTGCCCGGCCAGGTCCCACGAATTAAATTTCTCCCGGTCCGCGTAACAAAAAGCCAGTCATTACCGTGCAAATCGATTTTTAATCCCGCCGATTGCTCAACGATGAACGGTTATTAATTTCGTCTTGTTTTTCCCCTCGTTGCTTTTTGTTTCGCCGGTCTCTTACTGGACACGCGAAATTGAATTGCGCTCGCTCGTCACTTGTCCCGCGACGTTATTCGATTAGAATTTACACAGATCGCCGGCCGGTCGAGTAAGACGTGTACAAAACCTTCCGTCGAATATTTCCTTCGTCGTATTTTGTTACCTGGTAAGCAACAAAGATTTTGTACTTTGCCTTTTGTATTTTTTTCTTAGAATTGTCATCATTATTATTATTATTACTTAGAAGCTGAAATAGCCTTTTATCTTTGGATCTTTTTTAATAATACGTGTGTTTATTCATTGCTACATGAACGAATGGAAGTGTTTGATTTTTAATAGAATTGAGTACAACATGTATAAAAACCAAGTAAAATATTTTGTTCATTACATTTCATTGATTTAGAAGAAGAATCAATCTCCTCATAATAAAGATATTATTTTTAATACAATTTTAACTAATTTAAAGAAATAATTTGTCTATTTTCACAGTTTTTTCATGATGGGTTATTATTATTATTATTATTATTATTATATAAATCAATGAAAGTATTCGTTTGATAATAGAATAATAAATGTTAGTAAGCTGATACGT